ATCATTAGTTGAATTACAATATTGATACCTGACAATATCTCTATTTATTTATCAAAATTCTCATTATCGTAGCGTGACTGCCATTCCCCCCTATCTGGTGCTATGTAGACATGTAACAAGAATGGCTGAACGGATAAAGAACTCATCGAATTACTCAAACTCTTAAAAAGCCTATTTGATCAACTGCCCAGGACCCAGTGCTGCTGATCTTGGACAACCTTGGGAGTCACATTTCTTTAGACGCCTACAATTATTGTAAACAAAATAACTACTGTTTGAAACACTAATGTGTTGATTTTGCTTCATATTTTTTTAGCGACTCCCATTATCCGCATGTGAGGATAATGAGGGTAAAATGCAAAATATTTAAAACTCGATATTTGAGAGGGTTTGAGAAAATGTTTGATTTTTTTTGTCGTGAGAACGCAAGTTTGAAAAGTGATCGCAGTGTCATGGGCGCAGCTGCACGAGGAGCGCACCACGTGGGAGCACGCGCAGTGGAAGTGCGAGCAGGAGGGCGCGCACCTGCTGGTGCTGGACGCGGCGGCGGAGGCGGACGCGCTCGTCGACCACTTCCAGCGCCTGGGCCGCCTCTTCGAGCGGCTCGTCTTCGTGGGCGTGCGCTCGGGCCCCGCGCTCACCGTCGCCGGTGAGCCCTCGCCGGCCCAAGGCCGCCTTCACAACCCAGTCTTAGCCCTTTTAAGCTTACGGATTCACAAGCACCCAGCCTTCACGTTAAGTCTGTGTCACTTCTACGAAATTGGACTTCTACGAAAGGCCAATCAGAGAGCAGCATGAGAGAAACAAACATGGGGGATATCAGAATGGGTTCAGGTGGTTTGTGCTTATGTCATTTATGCATATATGCATATATGCCTCTAATGTACTGAACTAGTTTGCGAACGGTTTTGATGCGAGTAGTCAACTCATAGTAAGAATTTAGGCTACATTTCATGTGACTAACTGGACGTGGCGAATAAAATAACTACGTTTGATATTACTCGTGAATTTGGTATAAGAGAATCGTTGCTTATAAAATAAAGGAAATGCGTGCACTAATACATCTACTCGCATTTATATGCATCTATAGGAAAATCGAAGAAAAACCTTTCTAGGTTTTTCGTGGTGAGAAGATCTTTTCATCACACTGAAAACGAATCGACAATCGATCAAGCTTCAATACGCTGAAATCTGATTAGCACAGATGAAACTTACCTTACAGCTTACGTTCGTTATTGTGAATGCTTGATTTTACTGCCACGTTTACGGCATTACGTTACGTTTAAGTTTGCATTCCGAAGAAAGCCTGACGTCACGCACAATGACTCACATTCTCCATGGAAGAACCCCCCTAGGTTTAATAGTGTCACAGGGAATCAGTAGAAGCCCTTGGGAATAATGCCCGTCCATAGCGAACAGTCGCGGGGTGGGCAACCACTGGCCAGCAACGCACGTGCCGATCTGCGACTTGTGGACCGATGTGATGCGTGCGGTAAACGCGCAGCCTAATCCAGTCCTTAGAACGGGTATGTAATGTTTTTGGAATGTTGTGAACTCGTGTTTATGAAAATTCTTCGGAGCATAAAACCAATAATATCACTTCAAATACCTTAATAAATATGGGAAACACACTTTTTGTGTGTCGTTACATATTCACGCACTTAGTTCATACCTTCTACTTTCTTTTGATATTTTACGTTTTCCACTCGTGCTCTAATTCTCACAACAACAAAAGTTGCCAGGACATATGACCCAACCCTCGTATATATTACAAGAGGCAGATATACGCTTTTCACGTCATACTAGACACCCTATACAATAGATAGACTGTTTGAGTTGACTGAGAAGAACTGTTGCTTTTGCAGAAACTCTCACCTAGAGGTCTTACGGTTCGCGATTAAACAGTGGCACTTTTTTGACACTAGCTACATAGCTAGGTTGATTTTAACTGATGTATGAAAGATAATTATAGCGGTAGTCTGCTCTGATCGGTAGTTTTCTGTGGTTTATACAATCAACACTAGGCAAATACCGAAGCAGTACTCTAACAAACGGGCCACGGACCGCTCGCTATCTTTATTTTTTTAACTTTTTGCCACTTATTCACTTACACAACTACACTTAAGTGCACTATCTCACATGTCGGGAAAACAGTCGAAAATCATGTCGCAATCCGTAATCGCATGCCGCAATGGAGATGAGATAGTACAATATATTAAAAATATATTTGGATAACAAGTCATTGAAATGTTTAGCAAGAATTTGAGAATATCTTCACAATGCTCAAAAGATTTATATAAATCACATCGGAAATTTAAAATATTTACAAGAAATCCAAAGATCTTCAAAGACCTGTATGGACATTGACAGACGAAACGATGGATGGTTTTAAAACTTGATGGATTATGGAATAAACCTCTATAATCAGAGACTCCAAGAGAATATATTTTCTTCACAATTTCAGTATCTATATTTTAAAAGTATCTACACCATGTGTCGGAAGTTATAAAGATAAAAATGAGAACTGTAAATACTTTAATGATTCTCACATCCTCTACACAGCACATTTCTATTGACAAAGTGCCAATAGAATTATTGCAAATATAATTCATTAGTTTATTTGAATAGATGTGTAGTGTTTCAATCGAGTACATTATTTTAACTACTTGCGATAAAAGAATAATTGGAAAATATTGTAATTCCTAAAGTTCATTAATCATTTTTTACAGGAGAACCCGTTGAATCAACAGGCTACAACCGTTGGACAAGCAAGGCAGTGAAAGACGTTTGTGTGGCTGTGGATGTGAAGTTTCTTTTCCACATCACACCATGTGGGCGAGATCGTGCAGACACAAGGAACTTGTTGCCTTTCATCTGCGAGCAAAGTGACTCATGACAAACTGAAATCTGAGTTCTAAACCATTAACATGGAAAAAATATTTTCCGATTTTATAAATTTTCGAAGTTGCTAGGTTGTAAATCACAAACTGGTTTTCACATCAAACTGTCATTTTAAAACTGATTATATACTTTGATATACGATGAGATAAGAGACTGGATCTTGCATTACCTTTTTAATGGTTCCCAACTGAGAATCGCAAAACATTACATAAATCATATAAATATAATCATTAACACATCTCTGGTTCAACATCGTTTTATCATGGATTTTCATTAATATCACACAAACAAAAAATTGTCAGCCCCAAAGAATTGACACATGTGTCTCTATGTATGGCGACCCGCTGAATCCGAATGTGAAACAGAATTGCGCCATCACCCTCCAGTTATTTATCGCGAAAAAACACCGTGATATTGCAATTATTTTTGTTTTTTTTGTTTTTTTTGTTTTCGGGGATTGTTGTCAAACCAAAAGATATTACACATGTTTCTATATGTATGTCGACGAGCTCAATCCGAATCTGAAGTCAGAATTGTGCCACCACTTTCCGTTTGTTTTAAATTGAGAATAAACATAGTGAATTTGTTTTTCTAGTTGTTTTGCTTTTGGAGGTTGTTGTCAGATCCAAAGACTTGACACATATTTCTCAATGTAGTCGTCGTCGCACTGAACTCGAATGTCAATGCTGAATTGCGGCATACACTCTTCAGTTTTTTGTAAATCGCGAAAATACACCAGGAAATTGTTAATTGAAAATTTCATGGTGGTTTTTCGCAATTTTTAAAAAATGGAAGGGAATCGTACTATTCTGGCTTCGGATTCGGATTCAGCACGTCGATATACATAGAGAGACATGTGTCGAGTCTTGGGTCTGACAACTTTTGGATTCTGTAGAGAAAGACACCAAAATCTAGTATTCGTATGGTTTTCGCAATTTAAAAGAAAACTAGAGGGCGATTGCGCAATTCTAGCTTTTGATTATGCATGTTACATGCGTAGAGAAACATGTGTCAAGTCTTTAAGTTTGACAAAAAACTGGAAACAAAAAATACAATTGAATGCTGTTTTTTGCGATTCAAAAAACTGGAGTGCGGTGGCGCCATTCTGGCTACAGATTACGATTCAGCGCTCGACATACTTGTGTCAAATCTTTGGGTCTGAAAATTTTATTTATTTTGTGAGTCTGTGTATTTTGTAATATAATATTTTCAGTAATATTTGGATGTGTATCGCCTGGAAGAGGTTTAGCAAGTCAGCAAAAGTATACAATTTTGCAAAAAGCCATACTTTTTTTTAAACCACTAAAATTTCAATTGATTTAATAAATGTTCTTGAAATATATTGTACGTAGATATGTAGTAGTCTCGTATGTAGGTAATACTGACAGTAAAATAACTTTTTTAATATTGAAAATTGACCAGAAAATAAGAAAGCAATAATTTTTCTGTACACCACAAAATGATATTTATTTCCTTAAGGGGCGGATCCAGAAGATCATGTTTTGGGGGGAGAGGATCATTAATTTTTGTTCAATAATAAACACGTATGATTTTATATTGTATATTATTTTTGCAGTGTATGTATCATACTACACAATATTATTTTTAAATAATTACATAATTATCACATACATATTTAAAAACCTTTTGCCAAATAAAGGAAGGGAACAAACGAAAACTCTAGACTTTTTGGAGAGGGCCATCCCCCCTCCCTGGTTTGGCCAGAGATTTCCTTTACCTACCCTACAGAATAATTACCGTTTTAATGCACTAATCTTTATAAATCATTGTTTTTACTTTCTCAGACGTACTAACGTAACAAGAGAAATTATTGAAATCCTGTATCGGAAAACTGCGAATTTTCGACACAAACAGTCTTATTGCCGGGTTCTGGTAACAAAAAAGTGAATAACTCCTGTTGATAAATATAGAAAAAAATTCTCGAACACATGGTGTAGTCATGCTTTGTGGATCCTTGATTTCGAAAAATCGATTGACGGCAAAACGACTCTCTCTCCGTCCGTCCGTACACAACTTTAGCGCATAAACCGTTCAGTCGATTTTCTCCAAAATTGATATTATCGTTCTAGCTGATGTCTTGGACCCTGGAATTTGTAACCAAGATTTTAATTTTGGAGGAAATTATGTGAAGCCTCTGGAACATTTTCAAAACTCTGAAAAAAACGGCTTCAATTTTTTTGATTAACTTTTGTTGTTGAATAATGCACACGACGTTTACGACAATGGTGCATGTCTCATTTTCGTTGTCATCCCCCATTTTCCGAAAATTGGAAAAAAATATTTTAACTTCAAAATTGGCGATAAAATGTTTCGTCTCCGAAAAAAAATGTTGTACAAAATTAGCTATTTAAAAAGATTATGTACATTTTTTTTCAAAACGTGTAGTTTTTGCGTTATTTGGTATTGAAATAGACCATTGTTTTTGCTCAAAAACTGATCCCAATTTTTCTTTAAATTTTCTTCACTTATGTCATAAGAAACGGTCAAAATTCGGCGATAGTCATATATTCGGGTATTGCTTGATTTTTTGAAAATTAAAAGAAATATATTTTAAAACTACAGAATTTAAGATAGAGAATTTTGCCTCAAACAATGTATGTTGTACAAAATAATCTCTTTAAAAAGATCCTGTTCATTTCTTTGTAAAAGTTCTGTTTGAAATTAACGAAGCATATATCGGCGTCCCGTTGTACATAACGATACAACAGCACCTCGCAACATTGTAATATTGTGAGGTTCTGTTGTAGCATCACTAATTTTAATCTATTGCAAATAGCCTATGCCTTCTACTGCATAAGAGATTTAGATCTGAATGCAAGAGCATTGAGACACACCTACAGAGAGCGATAAAAGCTTTCAACATTTACTCCAATTGAGACCTAGTTCTTTGGGACCGTCTCTCTGCGAAGGGAATGGCATCTCCAGAACGCTGATAGATGCACTTCGAGAATCAGTCTAAAGTTCACTACGCAGAAATTTAACTACAAAATCTCCACCTCTTTCTATTTTATCTACGGTGCACACAAAAGATTACTTAAACTTATCAATTTCTCCAATATAAAGTGACCTTCAGGTCAACATTATTTCCCTCTAAATCCTCTATATTTGCGGCATCATAAATTTCATCATCAGAGAGATCCATTTATTCTGGTTCTTCTGAACTGATGCTTTCACTAGAGGAGTTAATGCAGCTACCTACTGAGCAACATCAGATTTCGAAATTCCTATTTATTTAACAACAACTCTGATTTACGCCCTTTCATCAAAAACACGTTGGACATCCCATTTTATTCCACGTTCATCTTTTATCAACATTTTAATAATATTTTTTCTTCTTGGCGATAAGAAATATGGACAATATTAACTATATAATTATACCACACTAATGGCAGGAGGTTTTGACCGTGCTCCAATTCTCTTATATATTTACAAAATGTCAATTTACCAAATATGTAAATGGTAAGGTTATCAAACATAATCCACCAAGTATAATATAGTGGTCATCTTAGTAGTTATCTATATTATAAATATAAAATCGAACCTTTATCAGTTTAGGGTATTAGACAGGTTTCTAATCCCCACGAACACATTTCTATGAACCTATGGAAACACGCAATTAAAAAGAAGTTTTGAAGAAACTTTGTGTTACTACAACTGCTTGCAAGAAGAGAATATCTTAAGTTAGAATATATTAGAGGCAATAGGAACAACTAACAGCCAACCTTCATCAAATGAATGCTTGTGTCCATCCTCTTGGTTTTTTAACCTACCCACTATCCCTTAGAGACGTTTCATGAAGTTACTTTCTACGTATATATTCAATAAATTGGAAAAACACAATAAACAAGGTATGTCATTTCTTAATCCCTTTTTAAGTAATACTGTATTTTACTGAAGTGTTTGCTAACATTTTTATTTAATGAATCATTATTACGCTTTAGAAGGAAACTTAACACATTTGATGCCAAAGATGAATTTGTCAGAGTAAATAATAGTATGCATATTAAACATATCTAATATGAGAAATATTCCATTGACTTATTTAAATGAACATTATGACATCTCCTGTAAATCCTTTTCATGAGAATATTATCGATTTGAGACTGTCTTAGTCTTCAGAGAAACAAATTTCATCGCGTTAACGTATTTTTTTTCTAGTATATTACCGTTTCTTACGAGAAAATGTAGCAATGTACATAATCATAATCCATGAAATTTTGATACGGAAAATATTTTTCTGTTTTTTTTAATAAAAAATAATTTGCTCAAATAAGAAACAAGTTCACTCTAATGCTAGATAATAAGGCAAAGAAAATCATTCTAGTAATCATTTGGAATTTAGAATTTTCAAATCAGTAAGTAAAGAAATGTGAAAATTTTTTGTCGTGTGTGAGCGAAGATATTATGAAATCCGTAGATCGTATTTACGAATTATCGAATACACAAGCAAACGTTGTGTACGTATTACTAAATAAGATATGCATTCTTCTCTCTTACATAACATCTTCTAAAGCGTTGCGGATATGCACATCTCTTGATCACAGACTGCCTAATTCGTACTTCCTGTTCAAAGTGTTCAAAGCAGATGTCATGGGACATACAACCATTATCTTGCAAGCAAGTAGAAAATGGTTCAGAAACGTTGCGGCTGTACTCAGGCCTAATCACCCGCGGCATGATTAGCATTTCCTACTCACAGAAGATGTCGCCTAACGTATGACCAATACGCACGCGAGCAAGTAGAAAATGACTGCACGAGATTTAAGCTCACAGCGCGCCTACGCCATCTAATGAAAGCGACTATTATGAACTTGTTCCCGTAATTGTCCTCGCCTGGTGCGTTGCAAGAGCAGTGGCGGCGGTCGACGTGACTGCTCCGCTCAGTGAGGAGGCAATGGCGGCCTCAGCGGGCGGAGCTCGCAGCGCGCTCGTCGCGTCGCTGCTGCTGGCGGTGGTGCAGAGCCCCTGGCCCTCCGCACTCGCCTCCTCGCTCAGCGTCCAGCCCGACGCCCAGGCAAACACATCCTGCCCGTGGCGAGTCAACTTCATCGACGGTGGGGATGCAGTTGAACGTTGCATTGACGAGCTCTCTATTACATTTGCAGGTAAGATTTTAATTATATCACCTAAAATATACTGTATAAGGATCTCGTGACGGTTTGCGATACAATTTGTAAATGGTGTATTGATTTAGCCTATAATTATTACATTGTAAATGGTGTACAATGTGAAGGTATGTTCCATAAAAAAGTGTTCATGAAAATCAAACCCCAAGCACAAATAAAAGGAAATCAGAACCTGTGTTTAGTTATTACTACTAAGTCACGTGTATATGAAACAAAATTAATGAACAATGAGTCGTTTGAATGAATGGACGATTCGCAATGTCATGCAATACTATTATATCTTTCATTCCCCATTAATTCTGACATATTATTAGCAAATAGCCTAAATAACGACAGTGACAATAACAACACTACGCTAACACTAATTATACTCGCACTAGTCTGAGCGAGATTTCAAGCACATTGAACACGCGTTTACCGCTGTAGGTGTCGGGGGGCGGACCCGATAAGGGAATGAGAGAGTTCGAATATCTAATGAAAAATAGTTTGTTAGATGTGACTGCCAACGTGCACAAATATGTTATTGTTGGTAATAAATATTTAATTAATGCATTACTTTCCTTTTCTATACATTTTCATTTAGAAATGATTTCAAAATAAATGTTTCAAGAATATAGATAAGAAATATTTGCTTTTGAAAATTGAAAAAAAGAAATATTGCAATTTTTACATTAATTATTAAAATTGTGAGATAAATTAACAAATAAGATAACACTTACAGAACCTCTGTAATTCTTTAAAAAATATTTTTAGTTTTCATTATCAAGAGGGAGCTTGGCCGTGGTTCCCCTTTGGAGCTACCCTTAAAAGGGCCAACGAAAATACTCAGAGAGGGAAAGAAAATCACCGCGAGAGAGAGAGAGAGAGAGAGAGAGAGGGAGGGAGAGAGAGATGAGAGGGGAGAGACAGAATGTAAACTATTTGCCCTTGCTACAGGAACACCTTCGACGGGTTTGGCCCCAGAAGCACCGCCGGACGGCCAGATGGCCCCGCCGCTCCCCGGCTACAAAGCGCTGCACGGGGGCAACTGGTACAAGCTGCACTCGCGCCCGGCGAGCTGGCACGCCGCGAGGGAGCAGTGCGAGCGCGAGGGCGCGCACCTGCTGGTGGTGGACTCGGCGGAGGAGGCGCGGGTGGTGCGCGCGCTGCTCGGCCTGCGCCCCCACGACAACGCCACACTGGTGCACGCCGGCTTCTACGTGCAGCTCGTCAGCGTGCGCGGTTCGTGCGAACAGCCGCGCGCCGCATTTAGCAAAACTACATTATGAAACGATGATGTAATAACGGCTATTAATAAACGAGTGTCATATTACGATACGAGCGAGTATCGTAAATGTCACACGAGCGTATTAATACCCGTTACATCGAGTTTTACAAAGTACTTTTTCTGTGACTTAAAGCTTTACATTGAATCATCGCGTGGTAGTTGACATGCTGAATTCAGTCACGGCCACCTAATGGACAGCTCCCTCCCTTGCCTACTGCAGGTGGCTCTCGTTTAATGTGCTAATCATATAGGATCAAAGTGAAATTACGACCCAATTTACTTTAAATAATATTGCACGTAAATATTTACAACTAAGAAAACAAATTATCTGCAAATCACGCCTACAACAATTCCCAATGTTCAATTGACAATATTTGGTCTGTGAACTTCTCTGTGAAAAGAAATTAAATCTGTACCGTTATGAGTATCATTATACAACTGGTTGCAGCCATCAAAAAACAATTATACAATGGAAATAGAAAAAAGTCTAGTCTTTGGGTAGATGCAATATTATATTCTGGAATTGGGTCTAATTTATCGGCAAATCGTATGTTGTATGATTCTACGTCATGGTTATTCTTAACAATGGTGACACACTCAAGGCAATCGTCGAGTTTCGAGCGAGTGCCCTCCGATTAACCAATATGCTTGACAAATATTCCCTTTTTATACTCTCACTGTATAAATTTGTTATTTGATGGCTGCATTATTATACTCATTACGATACGGATTTCATTAGATACAGATTTCATTACGATATAGGTTCTCGATCAATCAAAAAGAACTTTACAAATCAATTATTAGGCAGCGACTGAATTCCATGTAGCTGACAAGCTAGTGCCACAAAACTTGCCACTGTCGCGACACCAAGCTAGGATTTCCCGGCCAGAGGCACTACAGAGACCGAGGTCTCCCGGTCAAAAGTTGAAATCTGTTTTTAATTTATTGCCCAGGAGAGGCGCTTCAGTTTTCGTGGCACGAGCGCTGGGTGCGAGGGGACCCCAATGCTTTGGCGTGCGGCCAAATGGACAGCGACGGGTTCCTCTTGGTCGCCTCGTGCACAGACCAAAGGGCGTTCGTCTGCGAGATCGAGTCATCGCCGCCCCCGCCCACCGCCTCCACGTCTTCACCTTCGCCTGCGCCTTGGAATCCGAAAGAAAGTGACGTACCGCGCGGGTACGAAGCGGCCCCTGGCTGGAATTATAGTTACTACCGATTGGGTGCGTTTGATTACAATAGTTATGGCTCCTGGAGCTCTGCAGAAGAAATATGTGAAACGGAAAATGGTTACCTAGCTTCGGTCGAATCGGAAGAGGAACTGAACGCTATAATCGACATGCTGCAAAATAAAGGAAAGAAGGACGAGAGAGTATTTTGGAACAGAATATACTTTGGAGTTCGCACAGGGGAACTTGTTACAGTTTTAGGTACGTATTTTAAAATGTATCGACCTTTTATTCATTCCTAAAACTTTTAAATTCATAGCATGTGCAAGCACGATAATAACTCATAAGCTCTTTTTATAAATACGAGGTAATTGATAATGACGATGATATCCGAATCCCTAAATTGACACTTTGATATTTCCTTGACATTTCGTCGGTACTCCTATTGCTTCCTGATGTAATACACTAGGAACAGGGACTTAGATACCATTCACGACTGCGCCTAGAAATGTTAAATATTAAAACCCCTTTTAACTCTTAACACTATGATAAAAATGTCAACATTTACAGATATTTATGATAATGTGGTGGTAAATTTTAAGCAGAGGTTTCGCCAACATGATCAGTTCAGACACAGAAATTTCTCGATATTTCCACAAGATGACAACTCTGTTCCCTCCCCTCCCCCTTCTCCAAAGTTATTTTCCTTTCTTTTTCACCCCTTAAAACAAAATACTCTTACCGCTGCAGCAACGAAATCCGTGAAGTCCAAACTGGATCAACACGAAGTCACCTTTATAGCTGTTAAATATGTTTCAACAATTTAATCGGTATAAATAGTTTATAAACTTTTATGTTATGTAGACAGGATGAATGTGTATCTTACCATTTAATTTAGCTAGAATTTTGAAGTTCCTCGCATTCTTAAATTAATTATAAACTTGTCAATTGAATCATAATTTTTACAGTTAATGTGACGTATACTGTTTCCCAATATTTGATTTGTGTTTTTCTGATATTTGATTGTTTGTAGTCTAGTATTTGAAGATGGAGGAAACAATGCACTTCCGAAATGTTATTAGCGGTTATTTGGCAGATGTGTAAAATTGTGTTTTGAGAACATCCATTTAAAACGTTGCTCATTTGAGTGTTGTTGTTATAGATATATGTATTGACAGAAAATATGTTCCCACCATTGATTAAATCAATTTTGACAAACCCCACTGATTAGAAAATCAAGATGCAAGGTAATGGTAGAATTCCTACCTTAATAAAGAGAATCTTACGAGAATTATTTGGGTGGATTTTTATTATTATTTTATAACTCTTCTCTATAATCTAAAAGTCTAGGTGTTGTAGGTCTTTTTTCTTAGAATATTGTCAAATTTTAGAGAATAAACTTTCGAGAAATACACACGAAAAGTGTGCAGGCTGTCTGAACTTGAAAGAATTCTGAACGCACAGGGTAATGAACTTAATTGTGTTCAGTTCATTTAAATGGACTTTAAATTTGAGGATTCACTAAATTGAGAAGCACTAAAATGTTGTTACCTTGACACCAGTTAATTGTACATCGTTCATGTTCAAAGCAACATGCAATTGTTTATTTGAAATAGAAATTACATTGATACAGATTTTCCTTCCTTTATTATTAATTTGTAATTATGAAACCAATTTGAAACATTTGATACGGTACTTTTTACTGGTTCTTTAATGCAAGAAAAATTTTATCATCAGCAAAGATAATTGTTCTTTCGTTTAGAAACGTAGGCTAAGGTAACTTTGAAAGTTAAATAATATGACCAATGGCGTCAAATGCTTTTGAAAAATTTCAAAGTATTTTAATTGGTGCATTATTTTGATTCATTGATGAAGCGACATCTTTAAGACAGCAATTATTTTTATAGAGGGAAAAAGAAAATTATAGTAATAAACGAAATGAGTGAATAAAGAGTATAATGCATGACTGGTTTGTTAAAAAACACGAGCGATGAGAGAAGCGAGTTTTCTTTTATGCCACGAATTAAATTATTGTCCTTTATCTACATGATACGTTCAATATTGTTTCGTTTCCATTTAAGAATAATTTTAATTTTGGAAAAATCATGCACATCTTTACTGTTCAAGACATTCATTTCGTGATGTATTTGTATTGTTCTGAAAAGATATATTTTAGTGGGCCTTGCATTGTGTTTGTTTGAAAGAAATATTTGCAAATAGAAGGTACTGGACATATTGCCAATAAAATGTTAGAAGAAGCTGACGAAGTCATGAAAACATTACTACCCACGAAACGTTAAGGCGGGTATGAGAACGAATACAACATGTATAAATATTGGGAAGTAAAAAAAAAAGCTAGTCACTTCAGTTTTGCTTCAGCGTACTTTAGAACGGGTAAACGCAACTAACGTACACATTTTCTACATCTGTAATCCTAAGTCGAAATGTTTTACATTTAATTTATAGACGTTATATATTTTATGTTGCTCCTTTAGTCAGCTAGCTTATCGTTTACGTCGCCATTTTAGTTTTATTCATTCGTTGTAGGTACGTAATCCGTATTGTATATTTTTGTTCATGTTTCATGGTGGACTGGGAATACTTCCGCTACGTCTGTGCTACAGTTTCTTAATTAACAGATTTGGCTATTTTTCTGAATTCCGATTGGTAGGTGTGGAGTTTTAATTGCACGCGTGCTATTAACAAAGAGATAATCAAATATTTTTCATAGAATTAATTATCATTTTTAGTTAGCTAAACAAAAAAGATAATAACTATTTACAATTAAAAACATGACTGATTGTAGTACTTCTTTTTTTTCAGGAGATCTTGTACAAGAGAGTGGATTCAGCCGTTGGGGAATATACTCACCACTCCACACCCGGGATGAATCATTGTGTTTCTGGGTAGATTATAAATTGTTTCTACATTCCATTGGCTGTTCTAAATTTAATTTCTCCCCAAAGGATTACCTGTGTGAAATTGTTTCAAGTATTGTTTATGAATAGATCTGCTGTTTTCCAACAGGATTGTAATAGAAATAAAAAAATATTGCAAATGTTATGCCAAAATACGTGTTTTGTGGACACAACATAAATGAAATGTCTTTAAAAATTAATATAAAAGTTGCACGTTGTCAAAAAATGATAAATATGCACGTTATCCAACCCCGCTAGCCGCCGGTGGGTCTGCGCCTGACCTCACCAAAAAGCGGGGGAAGATCACCGCCACCTCAGAAGGAAAACTACATGCTCTTCACTTAAGGGACTAAAGACCCAAATAGTTGGCGTGCCCTGAATCACGAACAATCAATCAGCGCTCAACACTCTGACAGTACATTCACCGCGTGGGGGCCTTACAGTATTAAGCGATCTTACATTTATATAGTGAAATTACTTTGTGCAACTCAGCAAAAAAGGAGAAGAGATAGTCCGTATGGTGGAAATTAGTATTCACATTTGGAAGATCCACAAGAACGACGTTTTAAAATTTTACTCAGTATCCAATTTGCAGAGTTTGCAATTTACAACTGGCCTCGGAAGAAATACTCACAGCTCATTTTCTTCAATGTGAATGACGACTGTTACAACGTTTTTATGCGCGTTTAGATTGCTGGACCAGAATTCCAATTTAAATGATTGCAAAATGGGTTCTTAATTGTATGATAAGCCGGTTGTAAAGAGTAAATATATTGCAGTCCAGGGATCTGGAAAAATAAGCCACTCCTAGGAAAATAAATGTAGCTTTGAGTTGGACATTCCCTCTACTCATCAATTATCATGAAAATGTGGAATCTGGATGTGTGAATATGTTTTTCTTAAATCTTGTACATGAATATTTTCTCAAAAGATAATTATTTCGAGAATTTATACGTAGATATGTGGCTCTTGGATGGTCTGATTTATCTGACCCGAAAATGCCGTCCAATGCAACTTTATTATAAGAAATTGCATCGTGTTGATATTTGCCCCTGATTGTTAGGCAACCCCTCACGCGGAGGTGTCGTGCATGCACACGAATTTCCTCGCGGCAGAACGTGACATGTCCTGTCCTTGGGCTCGGGAGCCCGCTACGGTTCTTGGCTGACCCGCATTGGCCCAGCCTCTCAACCATGGGGCAAGGGTTGCGTGTGGTTAGCAAGAACACGTCCCTTCACTGTATACTCTGGGTTTATAACCATACGGTGGGATTTCTCATCGTCATACAGCAATAGATACTGGACATTTGTAAGGAAGGACGCGCAGTTATAATTTTGTCCTAGCCGGGAATCGAACCAGGGGTAGCACAGTGGAAAGCATCAGCGCTAACCAACGAGCCGTCGAGGGATTAGAACGTGGCCATAAAGCTAAAATCGCGTTTTCATGTTGTTTTCAAGTGAATGAAGCTAAGACAGAAATATTATTCGCATCCCTTTCTATTTTTTACATGTTTTTTTTTTCCTTTTGACAAAAGTTGGTAAAATGAATCACAGTGAACGAGAATTACTTAATGCGGAGAGTAAATCAAGTACTCAGAGTTGGGAAGAATGTTACACTATAGTTCTGAAGATAATTTAATAGAATATTAAAGCACAAATGTTGGATAAAAATAATATTCACATTTGACATCTATATTTATATAATATTCCTCTGCCGTTATACAAAAAAAGCTTGTAATAACTATAATTTAATAATTATAGTATACTTTAAAACGTCGGCAACAATAACAATGTTTTCAATCAAATTTCATTTTAGACACTCTTTTCTTATTTCCTCACACTTCTTGGATAGTTATAAATCTAGTGCCAAAGGTCCCATGTTCGACACTGTTGTAGATCGTCGAAATGACATTAAATGGGGAATAGACGCGCCAGCCTCAGTACCGGTTTAGAGCTCACTATTTTTCATGCGGGTAGATATATTTACAACTCTTCGAGGCTCTCAACACCTTTCCAGGAAAGATTTATGCACGTCGCTTGTCACTTATCTTCCTACTGCTTCCTGCCTTTCTCGAGAACTTTTGTGGTGCAAAGCAAAAGGGGCGCGACGTATGGTAACTGAGTCACCTCGCGTCTCCTTTTGTCAGTGCTGCTTGTCCCGCAGTTCACAAGACGATGATTTGGAAGCACAGCAAACGAGTATGCTTTCACTCACTCACTCTTGTGATATTTAGGTTATGTCTTTCAGTTTAGTGTACTATGCATTTTATTCCAATTTGCATGTTTATTGTAGATTCCTCTTTCGGATCGAGCTTTTATATTTTTTCTGTTTATTGTAAATACTCGTGAGGAATGCCCTGGGTTGCTCGTTGGGTAGAGTGCTCGCTTTCCACAAGCAACCTCAGGTTCGATTCCCGGCCGGGGCAAAATTATAACTGCGCTTTCCTTACATATGTCTCAGTATCTATGCTGCGTGACGATGAGAAAGCTCACCCTAAGGTAATGAAGACCAGTATATACGTTGAAGGATGTCTTTGTGCTAACCACACGAACCCCTTATCCTTTAGCCGAGAGGCTGGGTTACCTCTGGTTGGCCAAGACCTGTATCGGACTGTCGAGCTAAAGGACTTGTGTGAAATGTGCATTAACTGTTTTTAAGATGAGTTATGCATTTATACTACGTTAATATATTTGGATTTAATTACACGTACAATGTAATATAATGTAATTAATACGTAATTTTTTTGCAATCTACTATTTATATTATTATATTTTCATTATTTTAAAATGTTTAGTAACAGAAGAGTTCTTATATATAATATTGAAAAAACAAAACCCACATCAATATGTTCAACGTGAGAAGCTATAAACACATGAAATATATTTGTTTGGTTACGAATATAATAACTTTCATAGTTTATTTAAAAAATATACATCGAAACTATTCAATCATTTGTTCTTGTTTCAACACTTCTTTTATAAAATTTAAAATAAACACGTATTTATTACAGAAACGACGGACTGTTTTGTTGAACCCCGCGCTCCGCAAGCCATTACGAAACACGACGCGTCTCCTGTCGGTTATTTAATGAGAACGTTGCACCCCTTCACTTGAAGGATTTTGCATTATACTCGTGTTTAGTAAAATTGTGGACCGAATTCTACATTCGTAAATTATTGGAATACATTACTTATTACGATACTGTAAGAAAAGTAATGCTGAGGACTTACCGGCCATTGGTGCCAATTGTTATAAATAACTTGCAACAGCACTCACCTGAAAACAAAATATTTTTTTAGATTAAATTTTGTACTTTTTAAATTCAACGTACTTTTACGCGGCGGTTACAATTGAAGTTAAGCTGCAAAATATTACATATATTTAACAATTTTGTAATATTAACACTATTACAAAATTACTATTGTGGTTATCATCAACAAGTATTGTTGAAGTCGTAGGCTTCCGCGGCCAGAGTCATATGCGTGATCTGGGTTGTCCGGGTAACGCCGCGTCGAAGGCTGTGTTGCCGACGTTTCGACCATCCTGTCGTGGTCTTCCTCCCAGCATACTAGCCCTAAGGAAGACCACGACAGAATGGACGAAATGTCGGCAACACAGCCTTCGACGCGGCGTCATCCGGACAGCCCTGATCACGCAACATGTATTGTTACTGCGGTATTACACAACTAAACCTCAATTTTATCACAATAAAATAATGTAATAAATTCACAAATCCATGAAAACAATTATCAAACTGCAGAGAAGGTGAAAACTAAGTCGTCCCTTTGACAATTGTTCTCTTCTTAAAAGTAACATTCGAAAAATTCGTAAGACCTGCCTGCAGAGTGCGCACAGGCTACATTGAATGTACGAAGTTGAGTATAAGAAGCAAAAATTAAATAGGTGCAAAATTTGACACGTAGAAATTCTCGAGGAAAGGGTTACGTTGAAGAAAAAAGTTGAAATTTTGAGAAAATTCAATTTCTGAATCTGGAAAACTCTTTACGTATTCTCTATGGGTTCATTTTTAGGTTTAATTTAATCGAGAGTACTAAGGGAAATTCGTCAAAAATGACAGTTTGAAATCAATCTTCCACACTAATAATTCATTATAATGAATAGTAGATCACAGTTTAAGTTTTGAATCTGAATTTAAGGTTTATTCATTTCAAATTTCTTTTAGAATCGGTAGTTGGTTTCCAAAGTGAGCTTCGCGGTCCTCTAGGTGTCCGCGAAATGATTTTAAAGGAGACCCTAAAAGACTCCAGTTGAAATTTTGGGCAATTTGCAATTGTTGGCAATTTGAAGACTTCCTTACGATAGACATGTAGAGACGAAGAAGAGAAATTCTACAGAAATGAAATAACTCAAGTTCAGGAACGATTCGCTTCGAGTGGCAATTTAGTGACAACGTACACCAAGTCACATATGAGAGCCAGAAGCGATCGGCGATCTAAACAGCTTCACTGCAAGGCCACGGATAGAAGGATGGTTTTAATGAAATTGTAGATTTTTTTTTCTTTTCACTTTAGAACAATGAAACGTGTACGAAAATCGGTAACATACTCAAATATCCGAAACACTACATTAGGAAGAAAATAATAAATTATCACAACACAAAGAATTGGCCATTCTTCTCTCACCTACTCCCATTAATAACAAACTGACCCAGCCACCTGTCAATAATGTGGAGGAATGTTGAACCTCTCACATTACCCTTCAATGTTTAAGCTTTCAAAATCTAAAAAACTCTCTTGAGATCAAAAACCATATAAATAAAATATTTGATTAAATTGTAGTTTTCAAATCAATATTACAATATATTAATACTGCGGGTCTTGATACAATGATTTGAATTAACGTAAAAAAGTATTGTAGTTAATATATCTGTCCGTTACAATTTATGAAATGTATCTCTTGTGTAAATTAATTGTGGCCTTAATTACCTTAGCTTTTTCTACAGCGACCTACAATAAATCATTTAAAAATTGTTGTTTAGGATGGAAATTAATTGTATGTCATGGCAAAAGCAAATTAGCAATTTTTATGTTGTTTTTTTTTTTTTGCATTTTTCGTTGATCCATATTAGTAAGTCATTTTTTACCTTTTTCCGTCTTTTTAATGCACTTTTTCGGACTTCATCGAAGTAATATAATTTTAATGGTACTTGCTTTAAATAATATTTACGACATGCAACAAATGTCCACAGGATTCCTGAGTAACCTATTCGATTTCTTCGCTCAGAAATTGAATTGTCAGCCGCTGTGAGTAAGAGACATCAATCAGCGCCATTGTCTGTTCAGCTGATTTCGGAATAAGTGAACACAGAGATTTTCGGACAAATAATTGTCCAAACCGAAATTTTCAAAGGTAAGTTCACTGGTTTGAATGGAAGTCTCAATTACATCACTAACATACCCAACTGCTAGAGTTGTTCTTCCAAACAGTTTTTGATCACATTTTTTACATTTTTCTTTGCCTTTAGGGTATTTTATTGATCAATTTGGGCGATGTTTTAGGTCATCAAAATCCATTCGCTAGCTACGACGTACATTTTTGGTACTGGAGCTCCCGGTTGGATGGCTCTCTTCGTTCAGCTCGTGACCTTGAAGGCCCGACGCTATTTGCCAGTGCACGCGCGAGCGACGGGGGTGGGCGGGGCCGGGACGAACTGCCCTCGCCCCTTCGTCACTCGATCTCTGACGCATCCAATGCAGAAGGCAGAACCGCAGGTTCCGTTTCCAAATAAAAAGCGGTAATTTTTCCCTCGAGAGCATTTATCTTTGTATCGGTCTCGCGAAAACACGTTTCTAGAACAACCTTGGCCCGACCAAGAGAGGCACTCCGCAATGGTTGTAAAGTTTAATGGTTGAAAGGCTGCTTCTTCGGTAAGGCCCAATGCCTAGATCTACGATTATCTGCACATGTTAGGCGTTTCTCATTTGCTGTTGCGTTCAAAACTACTGCAATTCGGTGATACCAGTAAACATACATTTGAGAGCGTAGGCTTCCGCGGCCGGAGTCAGTATTAACTTGGCTGTCTGGGTACATACATACACACACACACACACACACACACACACACACACACATACATATATATATATATATATATATATATATATATATATATATATATATATATAAAATCATATATGCAATCGCGTGTGTGTGTGTGTGTGTCATTTATAGATCCATTTCAATACCTATATTTCCCATATTATTTGTCATCGACACTGGCTCATTATCCCAAAAACTATTTAAGCAAGTGCTTAAGAACTTCTCTAAATAGAGCAGATTAAAATATAATCCAAAAGACACCCTCTTAAAATTAAACTAGCAATTCTACGAATCTGATAGCCGTTACATTATACTCATGTATTCTTGAGACCCGAAATTTCTTCCCCCGCACCTGCTGACATGAATTGTATTCTAAATAAGCAATAGAAACGAGTATTGTTGACAAAATATGGTTATGGAAATATTCATTACCGTGTCATGAAGAATATTTTGTATCGATAAACAAGCTACATATTAGACATAATACTTTTGTCA